GACTTACTCATTTTGCGTGGTCTGAGCTTTACGCTGTGCATTTTGATGGACACTCTGTGGTGAACCAGGTGCTCTCTGGTTCTCTGTAAATTAATTTTAAAACTTGATGGACGGTCCGTGAATTCTCATGGGCGATCCGTGAAATTATTAACAATGAAGACTAAGTGTTTGGCAGGGTTTTTTTGGCTAAGTGCTTGCTTTGGCGGACGGTCCATAAAGAGTGACGGACACTCCGTTAATGCATCAACAGAACCTACGTTCTTCATTATTGTTCATATTGCCTATTTGTGATTCAAGCCTAGATTGAGGGTGAACTTGATCATGCATGTGTAAGGGGTTCTGGGGGTTATTTAGGTGACGTGTTGGGCTAGTGATAGCTAGGATTTGAGCTCTAGTTAACATGTGCATCTAGTGTGATTTGAGAATCAAATTAATCATGAGAAATTGAGAGATTAATGCACGAGATTGGGCATGGAAACTTATCTTTGAGATTTAGTGGCTCCTAGGCCACCAAGATCAGAGATGGGGTCTTGAGCAATCTTGATCCCATTCCCAAGCAAAAGAGATGGAATTTGCTTTTCATGAAATTTCATGCACAAATTCACAAAAATACATTAGAGATGATTTGGAGAGAGGCATGAGAGGATTGAGCTAGGGATGAGTTTGAACTTACTCTTGAGATGATGGAGCAATCACCAAGCCTCATACTCCATTCATGCATGAAGAGGAATCATTAGTTAGGGTTTGGGGATTGATTTCAAGAAAATGGAGTGAGAGAGCTCTTGAGCTAACCTTGGATTGAGAGAGATGGAGATGGTCATGAGATTGACATGGTGCAGATCTTGCTTGTTTTTTCCACTTTTCTCTCTTTTCCTTCTCTTCTTTTCCTCCGTCTTCTCTCTCTAGTTCATCCTTGTTCTTGCTTTCTAGAGAGAGAGGGAGAGAGTGGGAAATGGGAGGATGGTTGAGAGAGTGGGTAGAGCTGGCTTCTTCTTGTTGAAGACACCTCCTATTTTGTGCTAATAGATGGGTCCCACCTTGAGTGAGTTGATGACAGCTCATTCACACTTACTCTGCTAAGCTAACCCTTTGATGGATGATCCGTCGATAATATTGGATGCTCCATCAATCCTCTGACTTTGAGAGATTTGAATTACAGAAAGGATCTTGGCATTGGGGCCACTTCTCGTGTCCAAGAGATTGATGATTACAGTAAAGAAATTAGAGATATTAATTTAGCACCTTTCTTGGAGCATTTTTATGACACTGACTGGCATGTAACCATTGTTGACTCTAGGTTGACTGCGGTTAACTTGGGAGACTCGATAGGATTAAGTTACGAACTTGGAATCCTTGTCCTAGTAGAGATCACTAGGAATCCTTTAAAGAGTGGTAGGCTGATCCTTGGGTGTTTGAGGCACTACTGGAAACAGAGACTTTGCCGAGTGCAAAATTCTTTGCCGAGTGTCAAAAATCGGGCACTCGGCAAAGACCTTCTTTGCCGAGTGCTGCACTCGGCAAAGAATTGCACTCGACAAAGAGTTCTTTTTGCCGAGTCTTGGGGCACTCGGCAAACACGGACACTCGGCAAAGGACTTCTTTGCCGAAAGTGCCGACTCTCGAAAAATCTCTACACTCGGCATAGTCGCCGCTAAAACGGCGTTCGGTCACGGCCTTATTTTGCCGCCTTTCTTTGATAGACACTTGCAAAGATTTGATTTTTTTAAATTTTTTTGCCGAGTGCCCCAGATCTGGCACTCGGCAAAGATTTAATTTTTTAAAATTCTTTGCCGAAAGCGCCTCGGATCCGGGCGCTAAGAAAGATTTTTAAATTACTTTGCCGAGTGCCCCTCACACGCACTCGGCAAAGATTTAAATTTTTTATAAATTCTTTTTGCCGAGTGCTCCTGTGGATGCACTCGGCAAAGAGGAAATTTTTAAAAAATTTAAACACTCTTGCCGAAAGTGCCTTATTCTCGGCACTTTCGGTAAAGATACTTTGCACGAAAGTGCCATGCCCCTCAGACACTAAGCAAAGTTTTTTTTTTTTTTTTTTTTTGGCCTCCAATTTTTTTGTGTGAGACCTTTTAAAGCACCAGAACTCCTAGTTACAATTTGGGGATTTTTGTGGCTTTTTATATATTTAGTTACTTTATTTCGTTTACTTGAATTTTTAGGAAATTAGAAATTTGAATGACGGTATACGAATAATGGAGTTTAATGATTGAAAATTGATAGTCATGTTAGTGAGTGTTGGGAGGTCGTATCAGAGAACGGACCGAAATTTCGGACATCTTGTTCATGAAACATGTCCATGAAATTGCACATGAAGTGTTTTTAAATTCTATAAAAAACAAACGAAGTCCGAAAATCATGAAACTTGTTGAGATGTCGTGATATCATATGTGGAGGCTATGATAAAAATTTTAGAAGATTTCGTTATGCACGTTGTCACGTCGACGATGCTTACATCAGACATCTCTACATGTGATATCCGATATCACATGTAGAGATGTCCGGTTTTTGTAAGCATCGTGACGTGATAACGTAACAAAAATTTTCAAATTTTTATCATAGCCTCCACATATGAGATCACGATATCTCAACAAGTTTTATGATGAAAATGACTTCGCTTGCTTTTTATAGAATTTATAAACACTTCGGGTCAAGCAAGTTCGTGGTTATGTTTTGTGAACAAGATGTTCAAATTTTGGGTCCGTTTTAGATACGGCCTCACACTACACTCAGTAATGTGAATATCATTTTTGAATCATTAAATTCCATTATTCATACACGTGCAGTTCAAATTTATATTTTTCGAAAAAATTCAAGTAAACAAAATAAAGTAACTAAATATAGCCAACAGATTCGGAAAATATACCAAATTTTAACATGGAGTACCAAGTACTATAAGAAAACTACAGAAAAATTTGGAGATCAAAATACAAAAAAATTAGTTTCTTATGCTTTATCGAAGTAAGAAGTTTGCCAAACACTCTGAAAGTGTCCCTTTGTCGAGTGTCTGTGTTTCTGGCACTCGGCGAACCGGCGTCTTTGCCGAGTGCCAGATCGGGCCCATCCGCACTAGACAACCGGCCACCGAACCCTCCCCTCCCACACACGCACACACGCAGTCACGCACACACGCACGCCGCCGTGCCCCGCCCGCTCACCCGCCGGCGTGCCGCAGCCGCAGCCCGCGCCCGCGCCGCGCACCGCCCGCCGCAGCCGCAGCCCCTCCGCGCGTGGCCAGCTCGCCCACGCCGGCCCGCCAACGCCGGCGGATGGAGCAGGGGGAGGAGGCGAGGAGGAAGCGAGGAGGAGGAGGGGTTCCTTCCTCTTCTTCCTCTTGTCCTGCCGGCACCGGCAGCTAGCCATGGCCTCGAACGGGAGCAGCAGCACGGTGAGTCCGGCAACTCCTCTTGTCCCTGGATCGGGCCAGGTATCGGCCGACGCTGGCGGGTTCCTTTGCGTTTCCGTATGATTTGAGCTGGGATCTCACCGGGAGCTGCTGGGAATTTCTCTTGCTCCTCGCTCTTGCGTCGAGCTGACCGCAGGTGGTGGGCGAGATGCAGAGCAGCTTGGACCGGGTGCGGCGCCAGCTCTCCTCCACCTCCACCCGCCACCTCCTCCAGGGCCCTCTCTTGAAGCGATCCGACACGGTAAATCCACTCCCTTCATTTCCCTTTCTTTCTGGATTTCCAGTTTGGTACAGGTTCCCTGTCTCGATGTCAATAGAAATTACTGCAGTAAACAGCTAGAAAGCCAACCTGTGCTGTTATTGCTGACGCTTGGATACCGTTGCGAGCCTCTAGTTAACATCTGTTTGTTGTTTACCTGTCAACTGTCATTTCCTCTTATTTGCAAATTCAGTTCCTTGCTAGTGTAGCCGTGTATAAACCATCTAGTCTATGTGCGACTTCTGAGGTGTTCTCATTATCATAGCATTGCTATTTTTGTTTGGATTCCACGTTGTCGCTTCCACTTATGATGTTTCTTCTTTTTACTCATATATATCAGCTAAGAAAGTGGAATGAGCGCTGGGTCATACTTGATCCTACAACTGGAAAATAGAATACAAGTACTGTAACTGCAGAGTTGTTTTCCTTTTTGCCAAAGAGGCGGTACCTGAAACGCCAAATGAATGACACCAAATTTTTTGGATGATGTAGGGTCCATAGGAGTTACAAAGATGTTAGGGGAGTAATCGTGTTTGATTCGACAAGCACAGTGACACTATCGCCTATGAACTTCCAGTATGGACCTAATTCTATTCTAGTCCGTCATGACTTTTGGATATACGCTGTGGAAACTTTGTAATGACCTGTGCAAACACTTGGTGCAGTGGACTGGCAAAATACGATGGATGCTGTTTCTGTATCCTTATGGGGTATCTTTGTGTTATAATGTTTCCTCTCTTCTCCTTTTTGTCTAGATTTGATTCGCCACGCGTTCTTTGACTAGTGTTCTAGATATTGGAACTCCACAGAAAAAGGAATACTTTCTTTGAGCAGAAACTCCCAGCGCTGCAAGAGCATGGGTATCCACTTTACAGTAAGCTTTGATAATCTACGGTTCTTGATTATATTTATCTTTTTAACTTTTGTATTCCCTGAAACTGGTTTTATCCTGAACCATGAGTTTTGCATTACTGTTGGATTATCTCTTCCCTGCCACTGGACTGACTAAGATTAAATGAACATTAATTGAATATATGTTGAATCTGCTATTTGCACTTGTACAACTGGGTCTATAGTGGGTTGCTGTTTGATATGTTCCCGTAAGTGTCAGTATTGGCAGAACTGAAAAGCGGAAAAAAATAGAAAACCATATTAGTGGACTACTCCCTTTGTCCTGGATCCTAGATATTTAAGACAGATTAAGAGAAATTTCAAAAGACCCATGCATCCTTGACTTAAACTCTGCTATTTAGTTGATGCATATATGGTGGCTGTGGTTGGTGAATTTAGAGAAGGCCTTGCTCAACTACCGCACACATAATGGCAAATCACGCAATTTTTTACGGGTAGGTTTATTTAAACGGAAAAGCTTCCTGTAAATAGTTAGTGCTACTGGCGCTCTTGTTCCAAAGTGAAACAAAGAAACAGTTGCTTGTAGCATCTTGCAAAGCAAAGGGTTTCATTTGGTTCCCTCATTGATAATGTTACTTGGTTGCCTCAGTATATATAATATCCCTTCCCTTCAATTTCGTTTGGTTGATGTATGATATGTTCGATGTGCACAGATCTATCATTTCCCATTTTGTGTACTGCTGTTATATCTGCAGACCTTGAAGCCTAATAATATTTTCTTGCTTCATATGCAGTGCGACTCAGTTGGTACTACAGGCTCATAAGGAGGCCGTGAATTCATTGGGTGAGAATGGTCCTGCAAAATTGGGAACAGTTGCAACTGTTGTGGCTGTAGCCAATGCCACTGCAATTGAAGCAACAAAGGAGGTAGAGGCTGCAATGAAGATTTCCCTCATGGGCAACTTTGGGCTCAACTACAAATAAACTTACCAAAGGCCAATTAGATGATCTCACAATAATGATGGTATGCTCTTCCATATACTACTTGTACATAAGAGTACCTGAATTACTATTCAGTAATTGAGCAGTGGATGCTAGAATTGCTGATGTAATGTACATAAGACTGTGCTCCAAAAACCAGCAAATGGTGTGTCCTATAGACTATAGTTGCTGAAACCATTTATGCACTGTGAGAAGCTATACTACTTTGTATAGATGATAACTTTTTTTGCCAAATCAACAAAAATATTGCTAAATCAACAGGAATTTTGTCAGTTACTAGCCAATTTCCTGGCATACTAAATTTGCTGCAACCAACAGGAGATATATATTCCCTTTCAGCACCCTGTTGCTATAGCTGGATTATATGACAACAATACTTCATAAAAAATTCACTGACTGACTGAAAACTGATTTGTAATCCTGTGATGCAAAAGTTGATAATGAACTTATCATCTATAATAAAACATTTAAAGCTCATATGATGGATAACTTTATTGTAGTCTGTCTTTCAAAGCGATACTTCTAAAACTATAATATGCTATAATTTGATGATTGGATACTGAAATTATTTTCTTGTTTCTATTTTTCTGGCAATGGCAATGCATCTATACCAACAGGAGACCCTTCGAGTTAAAGACGATTTAACTCCACCAATTGTTGCAGGATATTCGTGCACGTGATTCTACCATCAATGAAATTGAAGAGAAGTTACAGGAGACTGCAGAAGCAGTTGAAACTGCTGCTTCTGCAGCACGCTCAATTGATGAAGAGAGAAGATTTTTACGTCAGAACTTGAACGTTTTGCTTAGGGTAACAATCGCATACAGTACACATATCTTCTAATGCTTATTAGTTAAAGTGTTATAGACTAGATTCAGACCACCATGAGAATGTTTCATGTCAATGAAAATATTTGAACTTGTCTGTATTTTTGTTTCAGTTTAGGGAATCGGAGGAGAAAGCAAAGCTTCTTGTTGAAGAGAGATCGTTTGCTAACAGAGAGAGATTCTGCTCTTCAAGAAGCTCAGGTGTGGCGCTCAAAACTAGGAAAAGCTAGAGGAAATGCTGTAATTCTAGAAGCAGTTGTTGTCAGAGCTGAAGAGAAAGCTAGGTGTGTGTACAACTGTGTTGAGCGTGTGTGTGTGTATACCTGAACTTTCATGTTTAGAAGATCATCTTTGGCAATTTTTTTGTCTCTCATTCAGGAGATTCTTGTTGTATCCTGCAAACTGGTATCGGATGGATGTGATATGTGTGGATGGATGTGTGGATGAATGAGATATATATGTGATGGATGAGATATATGTTTGTATGAATTTATTTGTCATGATGGAATGTAAAAAAAAATTAAAAATTGTCGTTTTGGGTCACTTTGCCAAGTGCTATGGTTACACACAGATGTTGCGGCAAAGCTAAAAAAAATAGGCGCCTGTAAGACCATTTTCCAGCTTTGTCGAAAAGTTGTCAGGACCATGGCACTTTCGGCAAAGATTTTTTTAAAAAAATTCAAACTTTGCCGAAAGTGTCGGATGAGGAGGGCACTTTCGCAAAGAAATTTAAAAAAAATAAAAAATCTTTGCCGAGTGATTTGTGACCATGGCATTTCGGCAAAGAATTTTTGAGCTAAAAAAAATTCAAACTTTGCCGATGAAAGTGCACACACAGAGCACTCGACAAATAAATTAAAAAAATTCAAATTTTGCCGAGAGTCTTGAGAGGCTACCTGGGTGAAAGAAATTTTAAAAAAATAAAAAATCTTTGAGATGGAGTGGTCGAAGAGTTTGACACTCGGCAAAGAAATTTTGTAAAAAATTAAAACTCTTTGCCGAAAGTGCTCGAAGGGTTGGCACTCGGCAAAGAAAATTAAAAAATAAAAAAATCTTTGCCGAGTGCTCGAATAGCTTGGCACTCAGCAAAGAAATAGGGAAAAAAAATAAAAAATCTTTATGGAGTGCTCGAGAGCTTGGCACTCGACAAAGAAATTTTAAAAAAAAAATAAAAATCTTTGTCGAGTGCTCGAAGGGTTGGCACTTAAGAAAGAATTTTTGACAAAAAAATAAAAATCTTTGCCGAGTGCCTTTGATGGTTGGCACTTTCGCAAAGAAATTCTTTTTAAAAAAATAAAAATCTTTGCCGAGTGCTGAGAGGTTTGCACTTTCAGCAAAGTGACCATCAACGGATTGGCGCCGGACGGTCGCTTTTCTTTGCCAAGAGTGTCATTGGGGCACTCGACAAAGCCTTTGCCGAAAGTTTCGATAAAAGACACTCGGCAAAGAGCACTTTACCGATCAAATTTTTTTCTAGGTTGTTCTTTGTCGAGTGCCACACTCGCAAAGGCTTTGCCGAAAGTGCAATTTTTTCCTTTCCGAAAGTGCCTTAGGCACTGCAAAAAACCTGAATCCAATGAGTGAGGGGCTTGTGCAAGGTTATCAAGGAGGTTCTATTAAAAGTTTTAGCTGGAACGATCTTGGGTCGTGACACATCCCTCCAACCACACACACACACATATATATATATATATATATATATATATATATATATATATATATATATATATATATATATATATATATATATATATATATATATATATATATATATATATATATTCACCTCTCCCCTTGTTTCAATCCTAGCCATCCAATCACTCTTATCCCGCCACGACCACTCCACATTGCCCCTATTATAATTTTCACCTCTCCACTTATTCAAAGCCCAGCCGACCTAGCATATTCTAGTCCCTTCCTGTTTGATGCCCTTGCAGCTTAGCACGAGAATTACAAGATATATTAACATTGAGGTAGACAACGCTGGAGACACTTTGCCTTGATCTCCCTCATCACCACATTCCCCCGTCTTGTTTGCAATCTTAGTAAAAAAATATGTGCCAGATAGGTTGCCTGCCACATCAACCTCATGGTTGTCAACATTTTGTACCTTTCAGTACCTTTCGCAGTACTGCATTCTCGCAGTTGTTGTGTGTGTGGTGGTGGTGGGGTGTTTAGAGCATCTCCAAGAGACTAGGTAAGATTAGATTACAAATTACAAGATTTACCCATTATGTAAAATAGAAACCCATCCAAAAAAGTAGAGTTACACAACAATCTTTGTATATTTTCCCTTATCTGTATTTAAAAGTGACAGTTGTTCGATTTTTCGTCCAAGATACATTTGTCCTCTGCCTAGAGCCTTCAACGCACTGTCGGGTAGGACTTCCACGGTCGCTGCAGGACACTACCCAACGTGTGCGGCTACACCGGCCGTCTGCGTCTAGCCAACAATCTAGCTATGCAGGTGCTTGTCCCCTGGCCAGCAGTGCATGTCCCCTACCCACCACCCCATCCCCTGGCTACGCAGCCGCTGAGCGCAGTAGCGTTGGCTAGCTGTTGTGGCCATCTTCAGTCGGCCGTGGCCAGCGTCTACGGTCGTCCCGCGTGGGAACGGGAGCGCGCCGAGCAAAAATTCACATGGGGAAGGGGAGAGCGAGCAGGCGCGCGGTCTGCTATATCTGGCTACCGAGAAGTTCCAGATAGATGGCCTCTTATTTTAATTACTAGATACAAAAGCCATTGGAGTCCTATTTCTTTCGGAAAAAAATCTAAAATTTGACTCCAAGCTAAGATAAATCTAGCTCATCTCTTGGAGATGCTCTAAGACACCGAGATAGCAAATTCTTTTGTTGCATACATGGTCCCACGCTGTGGACTATGGCTGAACTTATCTCAAGCTTTTTCTGTCAAATCTGCAGATTTTTTTAATACAAAGCACAGGATTATTCTAGATTGATTCTATATAATATGTTCATAGTGTACCTCATCGATTCACGTCAAGAGCATTCTTTTACAAACATATAGGGTGTGTTTGGTTGCCTGTCTTAGGGCCTAGCCAGACCTCCATAATGCAGCTTCAGGCTGTTTGGTTGCCTGGGTAGCCTCTAAGCCAGGCCTGTGCAAGCCAAAAAGGAGGAGCCAGGCTGCATTGCTGGAGACGCTCAACCCATGCGTTTTAGCTAAGCCAGGCTTGTACAAGCCTCTAGCCCCACCTGTGCTCCTCCACCACACTCAGGCCACCACGCTCCTGGCCATCTCCGTCAGCTCCGGCCAAGCAACTCCGGCCACTGCACCGCCCCGGCTGCGCCACCGGCCCGCGCGACCAGCCGTGCCCAGCAGCGAGCAGATCTCCCTCAGCTCTGGCCACCGCACATCGCCGGCCGCGCGCGGATCTCCCTCAGCTTTGGCCACCGCGCAGCCCCGGCCACGCCACTGAACCGCACGAGCAGCCGTACCCGGCCGCACGCGCATCTCCTTCGGCTTTGGCCGCGTGCGCATCTCCCACAGCTCTGGCCAAGCGAGCCACCGTGCAGCCCAGCCCACGCCCAGCCGTGCACATCTCCGCCGCCGCTGCTCGTATTTCGCGGAGGAGATGTCGCCGCCTGGATCTCGCGGAGGAGATGCTCCGCCACCCCGGATCCTGCGGAGTACTGCCACGAGCCCGCACCACTACCGTGAGCCCACGCCGCCGCCGCTTGCCAAGAAGAGGAGAAGGTCGGGGGAATAAGAAGAGGTGGCTGAGGGAGGCCGCTCGCCGGGAAGAAGAAGCAGAGGAGGCTCGCCGACGTCCATGCTATACAAGTTTACTAGCCAGGCAACCAAACAAATCATTTCTAAGACAGGCTTAGGTAGCCAATGCAACCAAACAACAGCGGGTTGTATTGCTGAAGCAGGCTACGGCTGGCCTGGCTAAAAATTTAAGCCAGGCTTGACAAACCCACACAACTAAACACACCCGTAAGATCCTCTAGACCGTTTGTGTCATGTAATGAAACTAACTACTGAGCAGGTCTTCATCGCGATCACACCATGGACGGAAATATTTCTGCCTTTTTTGTTTTTCCCTGGTAATTTGAGAATGCCGCTCTACTAAACATTTTCCTATTTTGAAATCCCGCGCTTATGAGTTATGACCTGCTGTTGGTGGCGAGCTCACCATTTTCTGGCCGTTGTGCCTTTTTCACACACGCAGCCCTAGCTGTGTTTTTGTCATAGGAAGTGGCCGAGAAATGCCGCCCCCCCCCCCGTCGGGTCCGAATTAAATATGTTATCTGGCAGATGAAAACCGTCGTTGAGGCAGTCGACAGGGACCAGCTCATTTCGGCCGTCGCCCTCGAGACGACAGCGACTGCAGCTAGATCTCCGTCGCCGGCGATCCCTCTCCTTGCCGGCGCCGTGGAACGCGCCTCCTCGTCCAGCCCAACTGCGCGGCGTCGAATTCGTCGTCGTCCCTCTCAGCTGCTATCTCCTTGCTCCAGCGGTCCAGCCGCTCGCGTGGAGTGGAGAACAAGCCGAACTTGAACGCTCCGCTTTGCTGGTAAGCAAGCCCTAAGCCCCTAACCCGCCTAGATCGCACGAGGTCTCGCCTCATAAACGACGCCCTAGATTGCTCGCGGCTATTCTTCATTTCTTCCTCGGGCAAGTCTGGGTCCATGGATTTGTTTGCGGCGCTGAGAGTTTTCGTTTCTAGTTCGATATGATTTGCCCGATTGAGATCGGCCTCCGATCCGGCTGAGCCGAGCAAGCTAGACGTCGATTTTTATATAGATCGAGATCGATATGACCAACTCATTTTGGCCGTCGTCCTCGAGATGACATCGACTCCAGCCAGACGCCTAGACCCCCGCCGCCGGCGATCCCTCTACTTGCCCGGCGCTGTCGTGGAACGCGCCGCCTCGTCCAGCCCAACCGCGCGCGGCGTCTATTTCGTCGTCGTCCCTCTCGCTAAGACCGATCCTGCTTGCTCCAGCCGCTCGCGTGGAGTGGAGACTGGTCACTGGAGAGTGGAGTGGAGATCGAGCAGGACGATAGAAGTTTGAGATGCACCACTTTGCTGGTAAGCAAAAGAGCCCTCTAGCCTGGTTAGATTGCTCGCGATCTCGCCTCGTAAACGACGCCTGACCTTAATTTGCAGGCTCTATCCCTCCGGCAAGTCTGTCCGTGTGGATTTATTTGTTTGCCGAGCTAGGAATTTTCGTTTCTCGTTCGACATGATTCATCGCCCGAGATCGATCGGCCTCCGATCCGGTTGAGCCTAGCTAGCTAGACGTGAATTCTTGGGGTTTAACACTCCGGGCAGAGTCGTGATCCTCACAACTGACTGATCGAAGCATGTGTATCCGTGTGTATGAGGATCATGGATCTGATCCTGTTCCTGTTCTCGTACTACCTTTGTTTCGGAGATGGCGGATGGCTTTTTACAGCTGTTACCCTAGCATGCTTCCTATAGAGACCACCCCAGTACGCCAGAGTACGTGCATCCCACTATGGCAGAAAGGCGGAGCCAGGGACATGTGGGAGGGGGCCTCATCTTCGGCCTCCGATCCGGTTGAGCCTAATAGCTAGCTAAACGTGAATTCTTGGGGTTTAACACTCCTGGTAGCGACGCTGGTTGTGATCCGTACAACTGACTGAAGCATGATCTAACTTGTGTATATATCCATGTGCATGATGAGGATCATGGATCTGATCCGGTTCCTGCTCTCATACTAACCCAGGATGATCTAACTTGTTTCAGAGATGGTGGATGGATTTTTATAGCTGTTACCCCAGCATGCTCCCTATAGACGACCATGCATTCCTGTAGGGCAGATAAGTGCATCCCAGTACGGCTGATAGGTGTTCCGACCGTTGGATTTGGAAGGCGTAGATCAATCGTAGTATATCTAAGGGTTGATGCGAGGGTAGTTTCGCGGGTGAAGTTCGTTGATCATTTATTTGTTTACCTCTGGAGTTGTCGGATTTTTAATAGGAAAATGATTGATTCCTTCGCTTGTCATATTTGTACCCTTTGTCGGATGTTGTCTCTTGGGTGTTTAATGTTTTTGGGATTCTATAGATTTGTTTAATTGATAGGTGTCGCTGATTGTCGTAATGGTAGTTGGTAGTTGATATTGTATGGTTTCTATCTTTGAGTTTTTAGTTGACCTTCCATACTATTCTAGAATGGGAGGGTCTTCAAGTAGTTTTACACCGTAGACACAAAAATGCTATATATTCGATGTTTCATTTTTTGTGAGGGTTGGGTGTGGGCTATATATCCACTGTTTCATTTGATGACATCAAGTACAAAAGGAGATGTTTTGCATTGCATTTTGTTTATGTGAAAGCATATATTTAGACTCTACTTTAAAGTGCTTGTCTAATATTATAGAGGAAAAAGTTTACAATTCTCTTTTGGTTGAAGTACATACTAATCACTATTTTGATTTGTTCTTCCAATATGTTAGTTTTGGGAAATTGAATTCATGTTTTCCATAATCAAGCAACTTTCTTATTGTTCCTGTTGTCAATTTGAGGTTTCTATTTATCTTTCCTGTAGATAGAATTCTTTGCTCATTGAAGTTGAGAAGATGTGTTCTCTCTTCACTGTTACCTCCCTTCTTTCCATTTGCCTTGCAAAGCAATGGTTGGATCCTTCTTTCTATTTTGTGCATCTTTCTCCTCTCTTTCCTATCTATAACTCTTAAAACTTTTCTACTTTGACTTGTTTTGAATTGTCTTGTTTTTTGTGATCTATGTACTTTTTTTTTGTATTTCTCCTTCATCTAAAGATAGTTCTCTATTTACTCTAATAGTTTTCAGATTTCTAATAAATCTTATATTGTTTCTTAGGTTTCTGAAGGTCCCCATATTGCTGTCTACTGTTTGAAGGTACACTTCAATCCTATTTATTTTTCCTTTTCTACATTACTTCTTCATTGTCTCTGTCTACTTGTGTCAGCTTACGCCACTTTTTGAATGATATATAGATCCACTATTTCATTCGATGCCATCATGTATTAAGGGTATATTATTGTCCATTGTATTTGGTTACTGTGATAGTGTACAAACACTGCTTTAAATTGTTTGTCCAATATGTAACGGAAAAATTATTTGCAGTTTTCTTGTGGTAGAAGCGCATACTAATCACCATGCATGGTGAATTGTTCTGCCAAGTTTTGGAAAATATGAAACTCACGTTTTCTATAAGCAAGCAACTTTCTCATAGAGTCATAGTGAAGAAAAATAATACATATGTATTGGAGGACATGGTGGTTAGCCTTTGTTAGCTGTCACCTCAGCGTGGTTCCTATAAACCGTCACAATATGGCAGCTGGGTGTTCTAGTTGTTGAATTCAAACGTCATATATTTATCATATAGTAGATCTACTTGTTTGGAGCTTGGTCCTCATGTGAGGGTGGTCTCCAGTGAATATTTTCGATCATTTATTCGTTTAGCTCTTGGGTTGGTGGTATTGAAGATGTTTTTAAATATGGAAACAATTGATTCTTTTGCATGCATATCTACTCTTGATGTTTAATGTTCTTTGAGTTTATATAGCTCTGTAACTCTATCCAATCAATAGTTGCTAGTGATTATCTAGTAATGGTAGTTGGTTGCCGGCACTATATAGTTTCTATCTTCTAGTTCCTAATTGAGCTTCCATACTATTTCTAGAATGTGTGGTCATGAGGGTGCTCAAGTACTTCTGTGTATTAGATATCGATAGTGAACATGTGTTGTAGAAGAAAGATACCAAATATGGTATATTTGAATCAAGAATAATAGTTGTCTTGTTTGCTCAGCTTGCATATATACCCACTGTTCTTTTTTAGGTTTATGTATCCACTATTTCGTTCGATGCCATCAAGTACTCAGGCAGATGTTTTCTGTTGCGTTTGTTTTTGTGTGAAAACCTAGAAATAATACTTTAAAGTGTTTGTCTAACATTTTAGATGAAAATTTGTTTGCAATTTTCTTTTGGTTGAAGTGCATACAGTAACTATGTTTATTTTGTTATGCCAAGTTTTGAGAAATCTGAAACTCACGATATCTGCCATCAAACAACTTTCTCATAGTTACAAATATAAGATAGTGTTGCATGACAATACATATTTGAGCTGATGTACATGCCTGCATAGCTATTGATATCGATGGTGAACATGTGCTGTAGAAGAAAGATCTCATTTTTAACTGAATACAAAGTCACTCTTGCTTTCCATATTTGAGGTTTACACTGATTTCACTCTTTTTTCTCTTTGGACGTCAGCTTCTTACTTGGGCTTTGATACAAGAAGTAGCATAACATGGGAGGACAGCCTGAGGGAATGCATCTGATTTTGGAAAGGACTGAAGGATGTATTTCATCACAAGCTGTGCAAAGTAGGGGCATCAAAAAGGCCACGCCAGAAGAACTATGCGTTACTTTATCTGATAAAAAGGGGTGCTTTGCTTGCAATGAGAGGTCACACAACTTGGATCAGTGCAAGATAAAGTACAAACTTGTTTCTGCAGCACATCAATTTGGTTATGCTACAAAATTCCCATTTACCGTTATTTGGCCTTCAGATGAGATGGTTGAAAAGAAGAAATTTTACCATCATTGCATTCTCATCAAATCTAATGTCACTAACTTGGACAAGGGTATATTGAAAGATGAACTCAAGATGTTTTGGAAGCTTTCTGGCGATTGGGAGTTAAGGAGAGAATGCAATATGACTTTCATGGCCTCCTTCAGCTCGGAGGATGACGTAATAAGTTGTTTAAAGAACCCTAAGATTGAAACATTACTTCAGAATAAGGAGGTGCAATTGACTATAACAAGGTGGAAGGAAAGCGACGATGGAAGTCTTGACTTGGTTGAAGAGTGGCTTTTAGTGTGTGGGATCCCAAGAATATATAGAAACTGGAAGGAGTTATATCAGGTTGCTTCTGCATTTGGAGTGTTGATGGATGTGGATGAGGAAAGTTTGGAAGTTGGAGATAAGGAGTCTATTAGGCTGAAGACAGCGTTCAGAAGTTTTGACGGTGCTCCTTTCTCTTACTACTTTGCATTTGGATGGTCTTCAAAACTAGTAATGGTCACAGCAGTACAAGACAAAACAGAAGGTATGAAACATAGAAATAAAGAGTTAGACAAGGAGCATAAAAAGGAACTGCATGCAGCAAAAAGTATATTGCTAGAAGAGCCGAAGGGCATTGAAGAGTCAAGATCAAATGGAAAGGCCAAAGAAAACAAAATAAGTGCTCCAGCAGCCACAATAACAAACTCTGAGATAACAATAACAGAGAGTTCAAAACCCATAGCCCCAAGTCAACGAAGCATGACTGGAGAAGAGCATTTCAGAGGTGAATAAGCATGATGGTTTTATTTGTAGGTTTTTTTCCTAATAAAAAATATATAAAAAGTGTAGGAGAATGTGTTCGGTGTTATAGGACTAGCAATTTGGTCAATTTTTGTTTGGTTTTCTGACATCATTTTTGTTGACACTTTCCTGAAGGTATACAAAAGCCGAAGGGCATTGAAGAGTCAAGATCAAATGGAAAGGCTAAAGAAAACAAAATAAGTGCTCCAGCAGCCACAATAACAAACTCTGAGAAAACAGTAACAGAAAGTATAGTTCTGGAAGAGCCGAAGGGCATTGAAGAGTCAAGATCAAATGGAAAGGCTAAAGAAAACAAAATAAGTGCTCCAGCAGCCACAATAACAAACTCTGAGAAAACAGCAACAGAAAGTTCAAAACCTGAAGGGGTGCAATCCATTGGCCCAAGTCCACGAAGCATGATTGGAGAAGAGCACTTCAGAGGTGAAAAAGCACGATTGTTTTATTTTTAGATTTTATTCCTAATATAAACATCTGTAGGAGAATGTGTTCGGTGTTATAGGACTATTTGGTCCTTTTTTTCGACATCATTTTTGTTGACATTTTCCTGAAGGTATACAAAAGCCTCCTATCAAATATGTATTCAAAAGGAGAGGTAAGAAGCAGCAAGTTACTGAAGCAATAAACAAGAGCTCATCAAATAAAATGGATAAAGAAGTGGCTCCACATAGCAGCAGTAATGCCACAAGGACTGGAGCTTCAACTGGATGTGATATGCTGGATCAAAAAGATTGTTCAAAAATGGAACCCAAGAGGAAACTGAATTTGGAAGAAATAACTCCAGTAGGGGAAAGTACAAAGGCCGAAAAGCTTGGAGCATGCAGAGATACTGAATACAATAATGTAGCTGCCCCTACAATCAACTCGAAGAAGACACAAATATTAGGAGACACATCAAGAAATCCGAGATATGAGTTGATCACTAAACATACCAAAGGTGAGTGAGAATCCCATATCCATCTAATTTTGCAATCAAATGTTCATTACTTTCTTTAAATAATTTATGTAAGTTTAATGTAGAAGGAAAATGTGTCAATGGATTTGGCTACAACGTTACCTGGTCATCCGATTGATCGCAATTGGTTAGGCTAATCAGTCCTCTAACCTTGACTAGGCACTATAGGCATGTATGGATCCATGCATGCATTGGCGCTAAGCCGCTAATAGTTAGCAGCTACAATTAGCCAGTGAGGTCCGAACAGGCCTGCTAATTAATAGACCTGCCACTTATTAGCCGGTGGAGCTACTAAAAGTTAGTTCATTAGTTGCTGGAGGGGTGCTAGTAGGTGCTAATAGTTCATATGAACATCCAATCAACTATCCAACTACCTAGCAGGTAGATTCAAACAACCCTTGATAATAATTAGGTAGCTAATAGTTACTTTAGATTAGGGAATAACAACATTATGTCCTCCCACATTCACATATGAAAGAGTATAGCCGATCGAAACAAACACACACAAAGAAAGAATGAAAGATACAATTCTAGACAATCACTCAAGCCTCAATTCTAAACCCTAGCAGTTATTAGCTGCTATGTTTTTTTTTTTTTTGGAAATACTGATTTCCATACGATGGATTTTAGGTGAGTAACGAGAGGGTATTGATCTCATCCCTTTAATGCAATGCTTTGATGGTGTTTCTTAGGAAATTTGGTAAACAATCCCATTTCTTACATTTTTTTTTTGTTTTAACATAATTGTTATTAGATATATTTGTTGATACTTGTTTTTTGTTCCTTTGAAGGAGTTGGGATGGATCAAATGGGATCTGGTGTTCAAGGTCACCAAAAAGATGCACCCAAAATGGACACACGGTATGGTGGGATCTACCACTTTATTGTTTGTCTATTTGCTTCAGCTTATTTGTTTACTCATTAGCCATGACATTCATATTCACATTAGCTGTCATATAAGAATATTTATTTTTTCCTATATACGTGGTGATATAGGCTACTTCCAAGTTCCGAGGAAGTTGTTATCTATGACAGTTTCAGTGAGATGGGTCTTCAGGAGAATCTACTCAAGGGAATATATAAATATGGTAATTATTCTTATACCAGCATTATTTGTGCATTTATTTCTGGACTGGAAACATTATTTGTGCATTTTTTTAAGGTCTGGGGAAGCCTTCCGTGGTCCATCAAAGAGGAATCGTGCCGTTATGCAAGGGCTTTAGTGTGATCCATCGATCTTTGTCTGGAACAACTGAGACAATTTGCACCGGTGTACTGCAGCGACTTGATTATGGATCTGCAGAATGCCAGGCTTTGATCCTTGTACCAACACCCAACTTAGCACAAGAGACCGTGAAAATTATTGGAGCACTTGGTCAGTTCCTTGGTGTTACAGCTCAAACTTGTACAGGAGGAACAAGTGCCCATGCATACCAGCAAACTATGTCAAGGAGAGTTCAGGTTTTAGTTGGCACCCATGATTGCATTCTTGACGTGCTGCAAAGGCATGCATTGTCTCCAGACCACATTAGAATGCTTTTTTTGGATGAAGCAGATGAACTACTCACAGGAGGTTCCAAGGACCAGGTTAGTTTTATTAGCTACCAGCTCTATTACGGTAATCGCAATGTATGACTAGTATATTAAACCCCTACTACTAGTAAGTAGTAACATAGAATGCATGAGCCAAATATAAGCTAATCTTGCTATTCTCATGCTACAATCTGATGGCCCTGCCCATATACTTCACTAACTTATGACCGGCCATCTTTCTTGCAGATCTATAATATTATCCTGCATCTCCCAAAGAAAATTCAGGTTGGGCTCTTCTCTGCTACCTATTCCAATGAAGGTAGACAGACTAGCTATAGATTATTCATGGATAAGCCTGTGGAAGTCATTGTCCCAAGAGATGAAGAACTAAAGAATGTCAAGCAGTACTATCTGACAGTTGAGAATGAAGAACTGAAGCTAGTAAAACTGTATGATCTTTGCAAGATCACAGGGGTTGAACAACGACTTATCATCTATGTGAACACAAAGGATAAGGCCGTGTCCCTCGCAAAAGATGTTGGCAAGCATTACACTGTCTCGGCAAGCCATGATGGCATGGATCAGCGTGCCAGGGCCACGGCCATCCAGAAGTTGAAGTCTGGGTCATCCAGTATTCTCATAACCACTGACCATCGAGGCACCAGTGCAATACCGCAGGTTCCCATTATCATCAACTATGATATTCCAACAGAATCTATGCGATACGTCCGTCGTCTTCAGCAGCAAAACAGACAGTTCAGGCAGCCAGTAAGTGTGGTCATTAATTTGGTAACTCCTTCTGATCGACGCACCCTCACTGCCATCACGAGATTTTGCAATAGATCCGTGGGGGAGCTACCCTCCGACCTGAAAATCTGAAATGACCTCTTGGTGGGCTATGGAGTGCAGAAGTAGTACATACAGAACTGGTCCTAAAGGTATCTGCACAAGTTCTTCCTAGCTAGCTGCAAGGAAGTTTTGAAGTTTACCATTAGGTCTCTGTCTGTATGTCACTATTTCTTGTGATGTGGTCACCAGACTAGTGCTATTTGCACGCCTAGGGAAAGTAAGCTAGGCAGCATGTGCTTTTATTTTTTCTTAAGATACTTTGCACTGTTGAAATTTGAAGAACCATGGAAACTTCAATTTCCTATCACTGGATGTAATACCGTTCTTTTTACTGGATGTGGTCGTTGTGGCGGTTGAATGTTATATGATAACTTATCTTGTTTTTCTCCTTTTTCTGGTCATTGTAGTAATATATTACGTAGTAATTATTTATTTAGTGATGGTACGGGAAGTTAGAAATAATGCAATGTTCCGCTGATGAGCAAAATTATGTACGCTGTACGGATGATACTAGATGTCCCCAGCTGATCAAATAGAGCGATGTAGAAACCAATCCCTGCACCAAATTGCTGGTAAAATATTATCTACGTACCTGTAGTTTTCTGTGAGCACAATGATTTTACGCTTTGATTTTCTACTTTGCGATTATATATCTTAAGGTGTATTAATGAATCAAATATCAATATATATATTTTGTTTGAGAGCAGTTAGGTAAATAAAAAAAATATGTATTAGAGAAATATGTTCCTTGTGCTCCTCTACTCCTTGTCATGCTTGTGTGAGGGTGTTATGGTGGGTCAAGTATATCGGTGAAGCAAGCATAGCCATGGCTAAGTCTAAGTGTCTTGCGGCGTGGGCCTAGGTGAGGCGGTCACCACGGGGTGACTAGCGACATCCTGCTTCTCAGGAAAGGATCAAGATTAGTTTGTTAGATCTTTTAGACTTTGCGTGAGTTTGTTAGCTGGTTGTTAGTATTTGACTATAAGTATTGAAAACTTGGTTAATAAAAAGGATTAGTTGGAAATTGATGACAACCTCTCCCGCTCCTCTGTTACTCGCACACACGCCATCTGCCACCCTCAGTGCCGCCGGGCGATTAAGCCTCGGCCACCCACCGCCTTGCCCTACTTCCTACGCAGCAACCCGAGCTCTAAAAGAGAGCATGGTGTGATAACTCAGTAGGTTCAGTTAGAGGTGCTCAAACCAGTTTGACACAAACTGGTCCAAACCATCTTAGGCCTTGTTTGCATGTACTCTCCACACACATGGACTGAGGTAGATATGAGTGCATCCAAATAAGTCTTAAGGTGGAAAATACACACTAATAATAATAATGACCATCCTAGTTCCATCTTTTAACGCATGAAAAATTAATAACTCCAAAAACTAAGGATGACTCTTTTCTAAACATCCCATGGCAACACATGGAAAAAATATTAAACAACACTAGTTCAACTCTAGGTCAAAAAGAAATTTAAACTTGAAATCTAGGATACCCTTCCCTTGTGGTTTAGTTTTAGGTATTATATGTCCTTATAAGAGCATCTCTAGCAGACTACCTAAATAGACCTACAATAGCAGACTACCTAAACAGACCCACTACTCTATATTTGAGCAGTGGATAAAAAAACAACCTCCAACAAACTACCTACTTGGCCCCAGATTTGATGGCTACCTAAATCTCCACGGGTGAGTAGGGGACTCTATTTTCTGATTGCGATAGCTCAACGAGATGAGGCATCTCTTATTTACAGAATTGTGCCAACATGTACCTACATTGTTTGATTTACCTATTCCGAGTATTGGATTTTGGAATAGAAAGAATGAAACTAGTACCAGCTTATCGCCAACCATGCTTTCTACCAACTCCGCCAACCACAGATGGGAATATTTATTTTGATTTATTTCCGCACCTAAGCGCGCAATTGCTGCCTCTACTTTGCCTACTTCTTGTGCCGACTTTGTTAGCCTCACGGGGTACCGATATCCTCATGCTTTGTGTTGTTTTCACTCGCCATGGCCCTGGTACTCCCCGCTCGACAACTCCTCGATACCCGACTGCATCTTCCATGCCTGAGCGTTGCCCACGACACCACCTGTACATCATCTTCTCTTCTCGGTGATTGCTCCTCACCTAAATCCCGCCTCTCATGGCTCAGCGCACCACCTCCTTGTTGTCTATTGTCGCCCACCCATTTTTTTCTCCACCCCCGGCGACTCATCCTCACCCAAATCCCTCTCACAGCCGAGCTCGCCGCCGGTGTCATACCACCTGGGATCCCTCTGGCTGAGCGTGCAAGGCTTGGTGCAGCTCATTGGCCTACCCCTTGCCATCAACGTGGTTGGCACCGGCCGCATTGTTTGTTCCCCTCTTTGTGATGGTGTTGTACGTGAAGTATAAAGTGGGGGAAAGAAATAGAAAGAAGGCAGGGTTCTAGGTGTGAAAAGTGTATGAAAGAATAAATGTTTTGGAAGGGCTGAGATGGACTAAGTATTCCAAGTATTGTATCCACATGGAAACATGTGAGATTGACTACAGTCTAATTTAACTAGTAGTAGTAACAAGGTTAAGGATAAACAGGAGCATAGAGAGGACTACTATGGTTCTCTAATTCTAACTTGGGTAAGCTATGTCTTCTACTATTCAACTGGGGACATTACTCAAGAAAGACACCAACAGAGGATGCTTTTCGTAGCAACCGGATCCTAGGCATACAAAAGGGAGGTGGAGTACAAATGACTCAACAAGGTTATAGTCACCCTCGTGATCTACCACCGGTCCAGAATGCAGGGTACATCCACAATTAACCCAAGTCTAAGCACCATGCTTACACTTACGATTAATATTTTAACCTAGAGCGTCTATAGATTAAAGCACTCAAAAGAGAGTCGTGAACCTGATGAACAATATAAATAAATTACTTACTTGAATCAGAAGTTGATTACCAGAGAAATCTCATAAGCAAGCTCAAGTAGAACTTGATTTTGCCAAGGTACAAGTCGTAGTGAGAGCACCGATAGGCTGACACTTCCTCCAACTCTTCCTTCACTCTCTATCTCACTATTTCTATTTACAAGACGTACTAGATCCTATGGAGGACTAATCTTCTCTTAATTGCTGGCTCTAATCCTGGTGATGAGGATATGAATTAGGGTTTTAGTATGGCTCTGCTAGAGGGGGTATATGGCTATATATATAGGGGGCAATGTCAAATCTAGACCCTCGGATCAAACCGACATGAAACAACGGTGTAGATGTGGTCTTCAAGGCGGTGGAGAACCAACATTTGAAGGAGAGGCTGACATGTGGGGTCAGTAGGTCGTCCGTCGTATAGGTGGGGCCTGCCGGCCCCACATGTCATCCCCTCGAGGTCTGCTTCGGTGGGTTGCCTTCTGGTGTCTTCTAGAGTATTCTCAAGTTGGTTTCATCGTGGATAAATGTCGCCGCCGCGTGCGGGACACGCCGCAACCAGCGACTTTAGGATCTTTTTAATGGTCGAGTGACACAGAACACCCCATGTGGCAAACCAACACACACATAATATCCAATATCGTGTCGACTAACAGGGTTATTATGCTTATCAGAAATTACATGATTCACAAGGTGTTCAAAGTTTTACCTTCCCAATTCTATGTTCAACACTTTGATAACTCGCTCGGATTCCTATCGGAGTTACATGGTAGCTCATCTTGGATCCGCTCAATCCAAGGTCTACTATGCAGCGGTGAATAGAGCGCTACCTCGCATCCACCAGGCAACAACACGTACAAAACAACTTAACGGCAGCACCGTAAGTACATTTCATACTTGCAGGACTTAATTCCAACATATAATATTTGGTGGATGCACGGGGTAGTTATCAGGCATTTGTATAAGTGCAAAGAGCAATGATGTTCATTAAGAGTATGACATGCTATGCTCAACATAGAAGTAAAGGTATTATTATTATAACCAAAGTGCTCATATTCCATCATTCATGCTACCATGGGTATAGAAAGAAAGAACAACCGAATAGTTCCGTCCCGAGGAACTCCAGGCTTTTAAGACTCTGAAGAGGTGTACAATTGTACCCACACAAAAGAACAGGACTAACCTCCATACCCCATGCATGAGGTAAGGGTTGCCTCACGTCTTCCAACCTTTTCCTATTCTGGCTCGAGTGTCCAATGAAAGGTTCGAGCGGTTGCCCGATCAATGTCGTGGACATTCCCGACCGACGCCAACCCCCTTGACAGTTTCATGGATAAACCGGTCGCAACTAGTTACTTGGCTTGTTGACCCCATCGGCGACATGTGGTCTATATGGGTGGTTACTTAGACTTACGTATCCCAATACACGGTCCTTATTGCTCCACGAGCTATGTCGACTGAGATCCCACACTCACGACAACCTACCCCTCGCATGAGCAAAATATCCAAGTTATCATCAAGGTTACCATATTAGGGATATTATTCCTTAGCTAGATTGATTAGGTGAGTCAAGTTGTACCCTCATTGGTTTTAGTAGGTAATTATCCAAGCTTAACATCCAACACACGCGAGTATGAGTTCCCTTCTCATGCTCGACTTCTACCGTTGCCCTAGCAACTAAGCAATAAGCATTAAGCGTTCCCATTCCCATTGTTTAGATGAGAGGCTTCTACAGGTTATTAGACTACTCTAGGTATAGTATAAAGGTGATCATTATCCAAGACTACATGCAATGCAAAACTCTTAATGCAACATAGTAAGTATCCAAAGTAGGGTTTATAATAGTGGGGTGCCTTCCTAGCTTGGCCGCTCGAGCAAAGTCGAAGTTGTAGATGACAACTCACACACGATCCTCACGCTACTCAGCTCCTAAAAGAGAACAAGGGTCGAGGCTGAGGATAGCCGAGGGAGACTTAGGAACATGACTCGACTTAGGGCTCGGGATAGAGGCTTCTACCTGTGGCTCTACTATTGCCCTTCCTGAAGCTATGCTTAACCTAATGTGGTTGGCCTCTTGGGTAAGCTTGTTACACAATCTCACACTCTTTGTGTGGTGTGG